TATATAAATTTTTTTTTTTTTTTTAGTAAAACTGCATTTTGTAATTTCCTGCAAATGAAGCCATAGTCATTCATGAAGCTTTTTGTCATCCATCACATAGGACAGGCTGAGCGCACACTGTGGGCCACCCCGATGATGATGTGTGTGTGTTGCTAATCCTCTAACAAGATTGTGTGTGTATCATTGGTTTGCAGCAGCGTGTGGAGATTAGCCTTGTTACCTCTAATGACACTGATCCCTCCCCTCCCCCCACGTTCCTCCTCCTTCTCCTCATCATGTTGACTTTGAAGCAGCTCACCAAGGCGAGCAACGTGATTGGCTGGAATGCGCTCGAGAGTGTTTGCTTCCATTTCATCCGTCTCCAGTGTCGCCAGCAGGGATTGATTGTTGCCCAAAGTTGCTCAGTGGCATCGTTGGGCCATTCCAAAGACTGTCGTGTAGATTTCAGAGAATGAAGAAATGATTTGAAGTGTGTCCATTGAGGTTGGCTTGTTTGTTTCTGAATGGAATGTGAGCCTGTTTTTGGTTTGTTGTTCTCAAATTTGTTTCAAAGTTTGACAGTGATTACTTCAAGTCCCACCAGAGGGTGCACACGACCCACAAGTTGCTGAAATAGTTGCTCGGCTAAGTGTGAAAAGTCGGCCAATCGAGCAACAAAAGTGCCAGGCTGCCATCAGCACCTATCTCACTGTACTTCGTGTTTGTGTGTGTGTGTCCGTGTTCAGATGGAGCAGGCGTCCATGGAGCAGAAGGGCCACGCCAACGTCCCGTGGATAGTGGAGCCGGGTCAGGAGGCCAAGAGAGGAGTCAACACCAAGTACGAGACCACTATTTTTTAACATGTCGCCTTGTGCACTCCTGCGTGTGTGTGCCTTTCCGAGGGCGGGCATAGTAGGGGGCGGGGCCAAGGGGGGGGGGCGGCAGATTTGATGGGCAGCAGATTTGTTGGTCAGGTGCGGCAGGGGTGGGGGAGGGCTCGAGTCGGGCATAAAAGCAAAACGCATCCCGCCAGTCCTTCCTCCTCCGTTAGGCCACCTGCATGACAACGTTTGGGGTGCACTTCTGTTTCCACCTCCAGGGGGCAGCGTCAGCCCCCACAACTTCCTGTTTGTGGGTCAGTCATTTCCTTTCTTCCTTTTTTGCTTTCTGCTTTGTTCTGAATTGTCCGAGCGTCCCGCCCCCTGACAACTTGATTGACAGATGCAGCAGTGTTTTAGCTGCCCGGGAGGCCGTTGTCATAGAGACAGCAGCAAGCGGAGGTGCGCTTTTGGTTTTGTCGTCTTTTCTGTTCCTTTCGTTCCATCAAATAGCTCTACAGTGTTTCTTAGCTGGTTTACTGAGGTGTCTTTACAAAGCATGTGGCTCGTGAGACGCATGGCGGCCATTTTGCTGAGGGGCGATGGGGGGTGATACCGAGGGCTCTCCGGATAAGTGATGTCATCTCATTTTGCAGGGCAGTGGCGGACGCTCATGTCTTTTACTGTGGAAATCAAAGAATGTAGCCAGCCATAAACACATGGACCTTGTCAGGCATAACACGCACGCTCTTTTCAAAGGACTACAAACATGGACTCCCTCCCCCACCGCTGTTCCGCGTTTAAGCTTGACTGCTTTGTGACACACAAACACACAATAGGGAAGTGAATGTTCTGCTCCAACCTTTTTGTGGGGGAGGTTACCATGGAGATGGACAATTGGGCATGTCTTTTTTTTTTTTTCCAAACAAATTCTTCAAGGTGAGAAGACTGGTATCAATGTTGAATATGAGAGTATTATAACGCCACCCAAATGATCTTGTGCAATTCTCATCTGCTGTCACCCTCATGTCAGATTATTTTTCTATGCGCTCGAGACCGATGGCCGCCCCCCCCCTGAAAAAAAACCCAACAAAAAAAGAAGCGTGAATGTGCTGACCTCCGTCCCTCCTCTCTGAACTGTATTCAACTACTGTACGTATGGGATCTGAGGGGATAAAATGTACATAAATATTTTGCCAACTCATTGTTGATAACTGTAATGTAAAAGATGGATAGACACTTTGTGGCACTGGGAAAAACAGCTAAACCAAGACAAAAAAGACATGTACTAGATGATTCTATAGATGATGTACTTGGAGTGGCGTTCATGTAAATAGGCTTGGGGCTTCCAGCACGCTGATTTTTTTGTAATTTTATGCCATTATTTATAACCCTGTAAAGCACACATGGAATAAAATAGGACTTGTACAACCATGACAGAGTGGAAAAGTTTTCTTTTTTCACAGCACAAGATTACCAACAGAGTAGAGAATTTCACCAAGTAAATTTTGAAAGTTAAAATCTCATACAAATTGTCAAAATTAATCTTTGAGGGGAAAAAATCTGAGACGAAAATAATTTTTCTATTGCATGAATGAAGCTTTTGAGGAAAAAGTCTTTATTTTTTCACAAAATTGTTGAGTGGATTTGGATTCAATAAAAGATTTTCATTTTTCTTTCAAGGAATAAAAAATATTTCTGTTTTATCCAGAAAACACATTTGTGAAAGCAGGACTAATTCCACAAATGAACAGCGCCCTCCAGTAGCATCTAAGGGCATGGCCGCCTCCCTCCCTCGGGCGCTGACTCTCCTGTGGTTGTCTGCAGCGGTGGTGGGGATGCACAACCCGAGTCAACGGGACCTGCTGATGTGCCTGGAGGTGTCCAGGCAGATGGGCGGCGACGCGGCACTCACACCAGCCAACATTTCGGGCTCTTTTGGCCCCCCGGGAGAGAGAAAACCCTGGAGCCGCCCCTGCCGTCAACAAAGGGCGACCGTGCAGTTGCAGTGCGTCAAATTGTGCACTTTCATTATCGCGTGAACAGACATTTCAATTGTGACAGCAATTTAACGGTGCAACAGTGACCTCGTGTGGACAAATGGTAGTACAGTCATTCGGACGATTCTGGACTCTTGTGACACCATTGTCTTCCGCGAACGAAAAAAAATTCCCCAAAATTCTTATGAAACATGTTTGAAATAACGTTTTGTTTTATTTTTATTTTTTGGGGGTGCATATCGATGTTTTTTCGAAACATGTCCAGAAGTGTTTGTGCCGAACTACGAAGAGTAGGCAAGCGTCCACTTTGGCGACAACACACGTGAACTCGTCAAGCACCAAACATTGTGTATTCACTTGTCCAAAAGCAGGTTGCCGTCCCATTCGGGATCGCGTCTTCGCTGTCCAAAAGCTCCTCGATTATGTTCTGCAAACAAAAACAGTAAAGGTGAGTCGCTTTTTTTTTTCCATTCCAAAAACGGACATTTTTTTTAGATTCAAGTTCGAATGCTTGGGGGGTTAACAGTGTATGTTTGTTGCTTGGTCATAATATTACAAAGTTCCAGTATTAAATTTTGCGAGGGAGTGTGGAGTGGTCGTGGTTGGGGACTTTTGTTTGACGCATGCAAAGCTTGTTCATACAATTGAAACGAGTGCTTCCAGAAATCCCAATGGCACGTATATCGGCATCATGGATGTCACTGAGGTCTCGAAACCCGCAGAGGGCCGAATCGAGTCGTGCTCATTCATTGATGTTCATGCTTGGCTAAAAAATGTCAAAGCGGTGAAATGCTGGAAAGGCGGGACAGTGAGGTCAAGGACAACACAAAAAAAAGACAAGGTCCACAGGTAAAGCACGCGGACTGCTTGCTTGTGCTTTTAGCGAAGGCAGACAGTCATCTCGCTATTATGTTCTGGTGCTGAATGCGCAGGTGGGCACTTTGTGACAGTTCAACATTTGTGTTTGACAATATCACGAAGGCACCCACACCGGCTGGGCTCATCATCACAATGTAAGTATTATGCCCACTCCCATTATTTACTTATTGTCTTGGATATAGTCCAAGTAACAAGAGGTCAGTTTCGTATCATCTAAACGTGACATGGACACGGGCCACCAATAATATTTGACCTTGTGTTTTTTTTTTTTTCCAACTGACAGGAGTCATCCGACTGGACCCTCTGCAGTTGCATAGAGCGGACTACTCTGGGGCAACTGGGCCTCCCGCGGGGATATTAATTGGGTGTGTACTCATGATACTTTTACAAAATTCGGATGAATTTAAATACTCGTATTTAAATACAGTATATATAATGTAAAAAACCCTGACAATGTTCCTCCACACTGGTGTTAAGTCTTGTATGTACCACGAGGGGGCGACAAAGTTCGCAATAACTCGTGTTGTGAACGCCAGTCGGTGCATGAATTAAGATTTTGCACATAAATGTGTGCATGTGCAAAACCAACCGATGGTTTCTCACAAAATACTTTAAAAACACAAAATAAACCAAACCATAATTTTTTTAATGTAAAAAAAGGGTCTTTATTCTTGGTTAGGGGTGTTGAATTAACAATCCAATGAATACTTTTCATCATTTCATACCTTTTCGACCAGCGTGACTGTGATATGTACTCCAGCAATACTGATGAATTCCTTATGAAATTATAGTAGGACATAACTTCTACACTATTCACCAAAAGTTATAAAACGATCACCTGTAAAAGGTTATAGTGCTGAAATGTCACCTCAAAACTATTTTGGAGTAGTGTAAATGTCAAAACAAGTACATGAAGTGTTAGACTACTCTCTGTCAGATACAGTTATAAAAATAAAAGTGGCTCAGCACCATGTGACAACAATCCTCGTCGATCATGCGTCCGCCTCTCATAAAAAAAAAAAAAAAAAGTTTTTTTTTTTCCATGATGTCGCAAGAGTGGAACAAAGTGCAAAAGTCTCTCCACGGATGCGAGGCCGCGCAGCAGCGTGTGAAATGCTCCGGGAAAGTGTGCTTTGCTCTCCTCTATAGCATCTCGGTCTTCACCCGCAAGGTAAACAGCTGCGCGAGAAAGAGATGAGAAAGCCACGGTTAATTTAAAAAAGAACGCCGTTTGAAAAGAAACGCAAAGATGTGAGACTGACTTTAAAGTCGTCAATGTAGGTGAGGAAGAAGCAGACGAAACTGAAGGCCACGATCCACTCGCACACGGCGCTGGCCACATGGAACGGATAGTCCTGAAAAATGTACAAACCGTAAATACACCTATAAGGTGAGGTGGATGCCAGAAAGCAAAATAAAAAAGTTGATACTCATCCTTGCCCACCCACCTTGCTCCCAGCGTCTCTGTGCAGGTCCTTTTGCTTGACAAAAAATGCACAAATGACAGCTTGGGATTTTGGCTGTCAAGGGCAAACATTTCAAAATGTATCCACTGTAGACCATAACTTTGTATGCCATGTTGCTCGAAATACATTATCATTGATCAAAATGGGATGAACTTGGCCCCCGCCTGCACAGCTCAACAGGCAAGTCTGAATTTCGAGTTGGGCATCTTCAGTTCTAGCACCGCATTGTGCCTCAACATGCTGAGCAGTACTGAGCTCTCCTGGAACACATGCAGTGTAACGGATGCGGCGGGGGGAGCAGAGAAGGCCCCCAACTAAATGAATAGTCTTGTTAACAAAGCGGAGAGAATGTACGGATGTAATGTGCGGATTGTTGTATGCTCAGTTTGTTGTTGTTGTTGTTGTTTGAAGGTGTATGTTTGCCGTGACATTGATGCTAATTTCTGTTAGCCCGTCGAAAGCGTTTGCTATGACACGTTCGAAAGGTGTAGGATGACTTGGCAGCCATAAAAGAGGATACTCGGGAAGATAGCCAGCGAGGCAAGGACAGCCACAGCTAGCCGCGCCCGACACACCGCCAAGGACGAGCCGTACGGGAAGGCGTGGTAGGAAATGGCGGTCTGCAGAAGGATGTAGAGGACGCCCGTGAGGAAGAAAAGCAACGCGCCAATGTCGTGAACCGTCGTCACCGCCGTCTCCTGCCAATCAAAGCCAAACACGTGACTGTCATAGCCGACGAAGGCGCAGCGTTTGGTTGCGTGGATGTTGACGATAAAGTCCTTCCACCTGAAATGTGGCCACCACGCAATTTCCCAAGCAAGAGAGCATTCCCAGCGCCAGCGCTGTCTTGTTCAGCCGTGGATTCACTGCCCTTGTCTCCTCGCACAGCTTCTCCACAAACTTGAACCTGCTGTAGATTGTGGCCATGCCTACACACACACACACACACACACACACACACACACACACACACAGACACACACACACACACACGCAGATGCCGTTTTTTTGCCACAGCCTTTCAGTCGCCTTTCGTTTTCCTCCAAAAGTGGAAGTGAGTCGTTTGTGGAAAGTGACAAAAGGGCGCATGTTCAAGATGAATGACCGTTTATTGCTTTGTTTTCGGCAACGTGTGACTAACAAGACATTACATGTTATGACAGACAACTTAGTGTTGCAGACCGCAGAACAGGAAGTTGCACTTGACAATGAATTAAAAAACAGGCCTCCCCCCCTGAAATGTGATGACACCCAACCCCATTTTATCACACTTCAACGAAAATAGTGTAAGATGTCAAAATAGGTTTCTCATGAAATAATCATCTTGAAATATTCTAGGATGGGAAACCATAAGTGGAAATCAAATTAAATCGGGATGTGATCCAAGGACACCAGAATGCAAAATAAAAATGGGGTTAGGGGATGGGGGGGGGTAGATGAACATGACAGCGCCGTGGTGCGTGCGTGTACGTGTAGAATACCTGCGCATGCAGAATCAAATGTCATCATGCCAAATATGCAGCTCTCTGGGGGGTTTGCTCCTGTGTCACTGCAAGTTTACAACAGCCAAATCTTCAAACAGATTTTTTTTTCCACCCCCAAACAAAAAAATAGACGCATCAAATAGCCCCGTTACAGTTACGACGTACTCGCACACACGCTCGAACTTAAAATCCTGGCTTAACAAACCACAATGATGCTAACACCAAGGGTGGGTTATGTTTATTATGGTTAATAACAGAAATGAGATGATCTCAAGCGAGATAACAGTAAGAGTTGCAGCGCTGGCGGAGTTTGGGGCGCAGCTGGGAAAACGAAACTAAAAGGCGCTCGTCGAGATTCGCTCCAACGGCGACTTTTCGGAACAAACGCGAACTTAAATGAGACATCCAAGTGGAGCTTGTCTCACCTGATGTAGGGGAACAACACGTCCACGTCGCGTCGAAACAGCGCGACCACGTAGGACACGATGAAAGTGCTCGAGGACCACACCACCAAAAAGACGGGCAGGAAGCACCAACCTTGCTCGAACCACCACATGGCGCGCGGCGTCGACTGGCGGCGATCGAGAGAACACGCAGGCTCAATCGCGCGGGTCGGTCCTGGTATGACCTTAAGTCCCGGGGAGCTGGGAAGAAGTGTCATTTTTCAAAACCGACCGTCACGTGACCGTCTTCCTCAAAAAAATGTCTCCACTTCTGGTCACGGTCCTCCTCCATCTTCTGCATCACTCACGACGTGATGTGCGCGTCATCGAAACTTAATTGTTGAAATGTTCATGAAATGGCAACATTTTCCAAATATTCTTGTGCGTCTTTAGACCAAAACAAAGGAAAGACATGTTACTTTGGTTATTAAAAGCAAATGCCCGTGCGTCTACAGTAGAGCATTCCAATTTTAAGTTATGATTAGTTCAAGGACACACAGTATCGCATGTGAAAGTTATACATCCTGACGAGCAGAATACACACCTCAACGTCTTGACTGAATATACGCAATCTTGACTAGCATTTGGTCGTGATTATTTCTTTCCGTAAGGTCGGCCCGGCGACAAGCATGTTATCGTCAATATTGTTGCTGTCTGCCTCCACTTCACTTTGTGGGTTTTTGAGTGGACGTGCCAGACATGTTATTCTTGTCTCTTAAACTTGTTATAAAATCTATTGTTGTTTTGAGAGTGATGAGCCAGCAAGCTTTTTGTTTTTAAGTTACTGACAAACTCTCCCCCAATCCCTGGAAGACGTTACAATGCATTATTTTCCAAATATCATTGAGTCTTGCCATGTCTGCGCCATTTGACTATCATTGCTGGACAGCTCCGGAGCATATTTTCCCTTTCCACAAAAACATTCATATCCGCTTTGTCATAATTTCCTGTCAAAAGTATTTTGATTTACAGTGACGGGCAAT